GAAACAGAGGCCCCACTCGATGACGCACCTAGCTCTGCGTTCAGGAGGCGCAACGGTGGTCCCAGCTGACGATGCACTCCAGTACTCACCGGAGGCAGCCTAGAGACGCCGCTACACTCCCGCGCGAGCCACCATGCAGTCCTGTCTGACGGCCATCCTGGAAACAGCGTCTTACTGGTAAGTGCCTCATAGCACACTTCCATCGCTAGTACTTCACCCATACAAGCCAAAAACACAAGGGGTGTGGGAAATTTGAATTTTAGCCGACGAATCGACGATGGAAAACGTTGACAACGTTTTCCATCGTCGATTTTAATCGACTTAATCGAATAACTGTTGCAGCTCTAGTGCCCAGTACACCGCTCAGGGTAACACCATTGCCACTGCTGCACACCGGGGGGGTTACCATCTGGAGCCACTCACGTACAGGAGGATGGTTCCCTGAATGACGGAGGGGAACCTTGGCCTAGTCTCGGATGGGGGTCCGATAAGGGATCCCTGTACGCGCTGCAGCAGGGAGAGCCTGGAGTAGGTCACAACGCATATCAGGGTTAGGCTCTGCAAATAGAAAATTAGTCCTGAAAATAACAAACATTACGATGTCCCTGTATAGCCGGAGGAAACACACAAAAAACTGAATTGGGATGGAAGGAGGAGTCTTTTTATTTAATGTGGTTGATGTGTTTCCTGTTACAGGCAGGCGGAGCCTTATCTCATTGGCTGTCCTGGAAGATGACTGTGGAAAATTGCCCATAGGCGACGCTTTTATTGCTCATCAGGTTAATGTTATCAGTGATAAATGGCCCGAGAATTATAACTCACTCCGACATTCGCGGTGATCTGTAACATGTGCAGCACAATAGGCGCAATCGTCATTTTTGCACGTAGGCACATCCGACGCATGTTTCCGTGTGTATGTGGGGGGCGGGGGACTGGTTTTATTATGCTTTTTTAATTTATGACTTTTTTTTTTTACAATTAACTTTATTGGGGTGTGTGTGTGTGTGTGTGTGTGTGTGTGTGTGTGTGTGTGTGTGTGTGTGTGTGTTTCGCTCCATAAGACGCACCTGACCATAAGACACATGTATTATTTAGAGCAGTGGTTCACAACCTTTGTAACCTCAGGACCCACATTTGTCCTTGGTCAGTAAGTCATGACCCAAGTCGCACCGCATTCGAACGCACGGCATTGCGGTACCGCGCATTCCAGTCGGGTAATCAAACTGTGGCCAAAATGAATGGAAATGCAGTACAACTCCCTCACCAAAATATGCGTTAGGTGCGATTGTGCATGGTACAATGTGGTAATCGCACTGGACTGTGCAATTAACACTCTGTACTAGTGTGAACTGACCCTCAAAAACACTGACAGACACAATCTCATACACACTCCCAAAAAAATATATATTCTTTTTTTTTTAAAGGAGAACTATGGGGTTCTATCTTTTTTTTATGAATGCATTCCTTAGGCTAAATAAGTAAATAATGTAATTTACTGTAATTAGCCAAAATGCACAGGAAGGCTGTAAAACCTTATTTTTGGTGGTGGGCGGGGCTAAGCGCCGCAATGAGAAGACATCCTGACGTATCTGACGGGATCCTCCCCACTGATGATTGACAGTGATTCTTGAGAGCTGCTGCGCGTCCACGAATATATGGACATGCGCAGCAGCTCTCTCCTTACCTGCACGTCCCCGTGTGCCAGCTCCTTCCCCACTCTCTCTTTCTCTCCATGCTGACAGATCGTGGATCGTGGATCCACGATCCCCTCTATGTCTCGTCTCCCTACTGAAGATGGGCTGCTCCATGCAGGAAGGGCGCGGCCACCCACTGCAGAAAAGCTTGCGACCCACGAGTTGAGAACCAGGGGTTTGCAGCGGCGTTGTCGAGACTTACTGCCTCCACAACGCCGCTGCAAAGACACACACCCCCTCCCCCAACCATATATTTTCTGAAAGCACAGGCCCAGTAGAATAAAAAGATAATGCTACTAAATTTGTAGGCCCTGCGAAAATTGCGTAAATGTTTCTCAAATTAATATTAAAAATACACAATTCAATTGATAAAAGCACTAAAATCAGTATCAGTGCACGAGAAAAATATTTTATCACTAAATCTAAAAAGATAAAGCTGTATTGAGTTAATAAATATCAAATATTTGAAATTGCGCCTTTTTGCGAAAAGGTTAAAAAAATTGAAGGAACGCAAAACTGTAAATAAGAGATGTTAAAAATCGTTTTGCGCTGTGTTGGTGTGATAAAATGATACCTGGGTATATTTAATTGCAACAGAAGCTATCACAACGCACGGCAATGCATCACAAAGCTTGCCACATGCGCTGCCACAGTTAAATTAATGTTTTTTATACAAAGAAAAAAAATCATGCACAGCGATGCATTCCAACAACGCACTGCAGCACATGTGCATGGCATACACCACAATATGGTGCAGGTGTATGTTAGGTGTGTGGGGGAGGGGGGGGTTTTGTTTTATTAGTTGATTATTTTTTTACACATTTTTTTCACTATTGGGGAGGCTACAGTGAAATATTTAGTGTCTAAAAACAGACCCCTGACATTTCCCTTTTTGAAATAGAAAAGGAAATTGAGGACACAGTCCTCAATATATTTTTCTGCAGCCTCAGCACTCAATACAGAGGCTTCCCATTCATTCAGAAACTGTCGATAGTAAATATTTTACTATCACCAGTTTCTGAATGGGGAAAAGCCTCTGTAGTGAGTGCTACTCCTCATTGAGAAAATCATGAACAGGAAGTGATGTAAATCACATCATGTTCATTCATGACTGGGGACACATAATGCTATGTGTCCCCAGTTATTTACAAACATTGGAGTGATCAGAAGATCACTCCAGTGTTTGTGCTGCACACGGAGGATCGGTAAATATCAGTCATACTTACCGATCTTCCGCTCTGCCACGGACACAGCCGCTGTCATCCTGAAACAGGATGACAGCGGCTCCGCTCTCCTCCCCGCCTGCCGCTCTCTCATGCCGCTCGATCATAGTGATGTAGCGGCTCGCTCCTCCGCCCCCCC